CAACCTTCTCTTCTCCAGGCTCAACAGCCCCAACTCCCTCAGCCTGTGCTCACAGGGAGATGCTCCAGTGCTCTGAGCAGCTCTGTGGCCTCCTCTGCACTTGCTCCAACAGTTCCATGTCCTTCTCAGGCTGAGGCCCCAGAGCTGTGTGCAGGATTCCAGGTGGGTCTCACAGAGCAGAGCAGAGCAGAGGGGCAGAATCACCTCCCTTGCCCTGCTGCCCACACTCCTGTGGCTCAGCCCAGGCCTGGCTTGGTCTCTGGGCTGAGCTCACTCTGCAGCTCATGAGAAGCTTTCCATCCAAGAGATGAGAGAATGAACTGCAGCTATGGCTTAGACACATACAGAGAGAGTAGGGAAGAAATCAAAGGTGTTGCCAGATTCAGTTCGATGGCAGTGAGAAGCTCCATCCAGCACTGCAGAGCTGCTATGCTCCTAAGAGGCTGCAGTGCCACCAAACAGCTCAAGCCCAGGATTTCAAATATATTTCCACTTTATTTTATGAATGTCCATCAGATATATATCTTTGATGCTACAACACACTAGTTGAATAAAAATCAACAACATAAAAAGCCTCTTCATAAAAGATCCAGGAAGGGAAACCCCAAAGCCATCACCGTGTACTCTGTGAGCTCTTTGACAGCCAGAGAGAAATGACATCATGACAACAAGTACAATGTACAATAATCAGTGTGCAATGGTACAAAATATACAAAAAGGAATGTGTCTTTAATATACATTCAACAATACCCCATAAAAATCTTCGCTGGGAAAGTGAAGTGCCTTTTCAAGCCTAACAGAAAATGTACACCACTTCAGGTAAGATGCCTCAAGTATCTCCCATCCAAAGACTGGAGCTAGAAAAAGAACTGAGTTGAATTTTCCCTAACAAAGAAAAGAAAATTTAAACTTCATAAAATTTTTGTCCACACCTATAGAATAATAAAATATTTAGAGTGCAGAAAACTCAGTTTCTTTGCAATTTTACTTCAGAGTGGGCCCTGTTTTATGGACACATCTAGCTCAGTCATAGAAAAGCAAAAATCTAGATTCCTCAGAGTAAAAAGACTATTTCTGCCCCTGTGTCTTTTCTGAGTTTGATGCATTCCACAATCCATACCAATTTGCTGTGATGGAAACATGAGTCTGACCAGAGGTCAATACAAGAATCTTTCCTCCTTTTCTCCTGCCTCTAGACAAGTCTTGCATAACTGGACACCAATCCTTTCGGCCTAAGTCTCAGATTCCTTTGAGTTTGACCTCAATGGCAATTTCAGGAAATTAGTACTGTGGATATTATGAAGATCACATGCTTCTAATGTGGCTGATTTGAGGAAAAGGTCCACCTAGCCTTCAGTTTTTGTGCCCTTCCTCCAAAGTTGGCACTTGTGCTGACAGCAGAAACCACCTAGGT